GAATATTTTCATTGAACAATGCAAATTTGAAGTCAATTTTGAGGCTCAAAAACAAAATTATGATGTTTTTCTTTTTTATACCAGTTTCATCTATATCATCTTTGAAAAATCCTGAAAAATACTTTGAGGAATCAGATCTACTTGAGATTTTCAAGACTGAAATCCCACATGCCTGTACACTATAATTCCAAGGTGGTTTACCCCTGCAATAGATGGATCAGCTTTGATTTTATGTGGAATGTTCTGGACTACTTAATAATAATAATAATAATAATAATAATAATAAATGCCTTTATTAAAAGTTTTCAAAATTACATTGTACAATCTAGATGAAAACAAGAGTGAAAATGAGTGGCGCAGTCTAGCCAAAAAAGGCTACTCTACTGAACCACACAATTCCACGAAGAGGTTAACATAGTTATATAAGTTAAAATTAACACAAAAAAAAGAATTAACAAAAGTTTAACAATTACCAAAATAAATGCGTAAAAGTGACTAGGTCGATCTCGATTTCCGTACTGGACGAAAGCAATAGAGTAAAAGAGAGAAAAAGATGAAGAATACATAATATTCGCTAAATGTCCACTAAGAGTTCTGAAGTTGGAGCAGCAGTTTTTTATGTTCTGTTTTAAACTGCTTTTCACTAAGTTTTTTGATATCATCCGGAAGTGAGTTATACAATTTAATAGAGTTATAGGTAAACGATCTCTGAAACATAGCTGTCCTATGGTGAGGCAACGTGAGCATATCAGTAAACCTAATATGTCTTGAATGGATACTCAATCGAAAAACAAGTTTCTCTTTGAGTGTTGATGGTACCACAGGGTTTTTTATAACTTTTATCAAGAATGAACCCAAATGTAGAGCTCTACGATTCGACATATTGAGCCAGTTAACCTCTCTAAAAGTAAAGGAAATATGATCATATTTGCGTAAGCCAAAAATCAATCGCAAGCAATTGTTCTGGACCTTTTGAATTCGATCTTTTTCCAACTGGTCCAAACAGGGTCCATAAAGATAATCACAGTAGTTAAAGTTTGAGAGTACTAATGATTCACAAAGCATCTTACGCAACGAGAAGCTAAGAAAATGTCTGCTATTATATAGAAGTTTTAGAGAGAAATATGACTTTTGAATTATTTTTTTTATATACAACTTGAACCTAAGATCCGTATCCAAAACAATGCCCAAATTATTAGCTGACGCAACCCTGGGCAGAACTATATCGTCAAGAGTAACAACAAAGTTTAAATCCAGGAAGGCCTTCTGTGGACCAAACAGCATAACATTCGATTTAACAGGATTTAATTTAAGGTTATGATCAAGAGAAAGCTGTCGTAATAAGTTCAAATCCTCATTTAGTAATGACATAGCATTAATGTATTCATTAGGATTGAAGTGAATATAAACCTGTGTGTCGTCAGCATAAGCCTTGACGCTGCAGTACTTCAAGGAGTTCAATACATCGGCCGTGTATATTATGAAAAGAAGAGGGCCAAGGATAGACCCCTGAGGAACACCAGACAAGATATCAGCCTCTTCCGAAAAGACGTTGTTAGATAAAATTTTCTGCACCCTATTAGCAAGGTAAGATTTCATTAAGCTAAGTGAACCGTTACACAGACCATAAAATTTTAGTTTTGAAAGTAAGAGATCATGATTAATGGTATCAAACGCTTTTGAAAAATCTAAAAGTAACAATGCTGTGGATAACTTTTTATCGATGGCATGAAATATATCGTCTGTAACTCCAACCCAGGCTACAGATGTATTAAAATTCTCCCTAAACCCACACTGGCTCTCAGGAATAATGGCATTACTGTTGCAATATTCAACCAACTGATAATGCAAGATTTTCTCAAAAATTTTAGAAATAATAGGTAAAATGCTAATAATTCTAAGATCATTAAAATTCGAAGGATTTTTAACTTTGGGTAGTGGTTTCCCTATGGATATCTTCCACTGATCAGGAAAGTAGCTTACTTCTATACAACAGTTTATAATGTGAGTTATATATTTGTCTATTAAAGGACTGCAAAGTTTGAGCATTTTAGCATTAATACCATCTACCCCATATGCATTAGTTCGAATACTATGAATCAATTTATGAACTTCCGAGATGTCAGTTAGCCTAAAGGAGAATGAGAGAGAGTTACTGAATAAATTATGTTGATAAAAATTGATTTTTGTATCACAATTCCCAACGCTGTGAAAAAAGTCACTAAAGTAAGCGCTTATCTGATTAGGATTTGATAAATTATTGGGGATATTGATTTCTTTATCAGGGCACACCTTGAAAGTTTTTAAGGAATTCCAGGTTTTTTTAGAATTATTTTCGGAACAGATACCATCAAGGTACCTCCTTTTTTCCTTTCTCACTCTTGAAACAGTTAAATTTTTAAGTCGTTTGTAATTTTCCCAGTCTTGATTATCCTTTGATTGCTTAAATTTCTGTAACGCAACATCTCTTTGTTTCATAAAGATTTTAAGATTAGGAGTAATCCAAGGTGCTTTACGCTTTGTTATTCTTGATGTTGTTAGAGGCGCATGTGCGTTAAAAAGGGAGAGAAGAAGGTTATTGAATATATCAATTTTATTGTCAATTGTATTTTCATAAAATATGTCATTCCATGGAAGCAGATCAAAATCCTGATGAAACAGTTGTACATTAAAATTCTTAAAATTTCTATAGGTTACAAGCTTAGGCTCAATACGGGGTTTTTCCACCATTAAACAACAGTAAACCAAGCAATGATCAGAGATACCATCCATAGATAAAGTACCAGATTCAGCAACTAAGCTGTCATCAGTAATAAATATTGGATCAAGAAGAGAAATTGTATTACAAATTCTTGTCGGCTGACTAATAATCTGAACAAGATTATAATTTTCAAAGAGAGGGACAAGTGGATTAACTTCATTCAAAAGATCAATATTAAAGTCGCCCAAACAAACTATATGATCTACTGTTAAGTATAGGTAAGAAAAAATGTTGTCAAAGTCATCAATACAACTGCTAAAATTTGTATTAGGAGGGCGATAAAACACGCAAAATGCAAATACCATACTTTTCAATTTAATTTTAAAGACTAAAAATTCGAGAAAATTTGTTATTTCAAAATCAAATGATTGACATTCAGCTATATATTCATCCTTTATGTATGCAGCAACCCCTCCCCCCCTTCCGACCCCATCTTCATGAATAAAATTATACCCAGGAATACTAAACGCACCAACATCATCTCCGTCAGAGAGCCATGTTTCCGTGAGAAAAACCAAATCAAAATTATGAGCATCAATTACTGTTTTAAACTCCAAAAAACCAGTAAACACAGACCGAATATTAAAATTTGCTATTTTTAGTAAGTTATTCATGAAGAGAAAAAATAAATAAAATATGAAGAAAGAAACAAGAAAAAGAAAAGATCAACGAAGTCACTCCTCAGCTAGAAGAGAAAGTATAAGTATTATAATGCTTGAAATCAGAAAATATATAAATGCTTTAAAGCGAAGATCTCCGCCAAAAAAATTAACAATTATTATTCCATTTTTAAAAGGTTCTTACTAAAATTAGATAGCTAGTAGAGAGAGAGGTATATAGCAAAAATCAAAGAAGGCAAATATTTATCAACAAGCAAATCACCAACAATTACCATTATTATATTTATGTTTATATTTACCCATATTTAAATGGTTCACATTTACAAAAAAAAAAAAAAATTAAATTCCATCACCTCAGTACCAATATATTAAACAGGAACCCAATAAACCCAAACATAGGTACCTAATAAAAAATAATAAAAACTGAATATATTTTTATAGAACTATTTAGATACATTCAGAGGTACTCAAACAAATCCGTACAAAAATAATACAGCAATTGCAATGAAATAATAAAATTATAAGTAGCATAATGAGTAAACGGTACCATTAAAAAACGAAAAGGAAACAGTTCATTCTGTAAAAAGCGATTTGCACTTTTGTAGTTCATCCCAAAAATAGATTCTTCCGTTCCAAGACCAAGTGTTCTTACCATGTTTCTTTTTTGCAGCAATAAGTTTTTGATATCGGTCACGAGTCAAATCCTCGAAAATGGCAATCCCCGAATTTTTCAAAAGTTTCCTTCCAGTCATGACACTTGTTTTCTTAATGTTCGAAGAAAACCTCACCAAAACTGACGAGCGAATGTGATCCTTTTGTTTAGTGTTAGGAACAATGAAAGCAAAATCAAGGTCCCTCAAAGAGCAAGGAATCTTTAATGAGTCATTGATAAATGTAATAACCGTTTCAGGCACTTTAGTGTTATCAGTTATATCAAGTCCATAAATTCGAACACTATTATTTTTTAAATTTTGATCCAAATCATCTAAGCGGTTATTTATATTAGATATGCAAACAGAATTATGTTCAACGTCTTTTTCTACTTTCTTTAAACTGTCAACAAGTGATGTTAACTTACTATCAAGTTTACTCAGTTTTTTGTCCATTCCTTCTTCTATCTGTTTAGCAAAATTGGTGCAAACCTTATTTATTAGTTTTTCCATATCTTCAGACTCGGATCTATTCGAACCCCGGGTACCATGCATTTTGAGAACCACTGATTGTTGAGAACTTATCTATGCGCAAACACAAGAACTGATTTTCACTTTATCACAGAGAACTTTGGAAAGGTATTTAACCAAAAATGTTTTCAAAAGATGCGCAACAAACTATAAACGCCACTTAGCCACAGACCCAATTTATTTCACAAAAGAACCAATCAGAATTAACAAAATTAGCGGAGCTCTCCAGCCGACGAACTTTACTCGACCGCCATTTTAAGCAATATTCCATAATCCAGAGGTCTTTTCAATATTTTGCAGTCTTGTTTCCATTCTTCCTATTTGTCTTTCCCAATGGCATGGTTTACGAAATTTCTTGGACTATTTTTGTTTCTTTCTATTTCAGCTTTTATTCTTGTCGTCTGACTTCTTCTTATTCATGATTTTCTTTTATACTTTTCTTTCTAATTCGCCTTCACAACATAATTTAAATTGAAACAGAAAAGCTAATAAATTGAACATTACCTTGAATATTCATAATAATAAGTACCTACAGGGTGTTCTAAATCTGAAGGGATATCTGTAACCGTTATAGATACCAGGGTAAGTAAATTAGATCTTAGGAAATCCATTGGCCTTTTGCTTGCATCGTCCAGAAGCTTCTTCAAAACTCGAGAATCTTGCTATTTAGCGATCAATTTTATCAAATTATCTGGCAAAAGGCTCGATGCCAAAATAAAAATAGATATAGATAGCATTACATTTTGTTAACATCCAGATAATAATAGATACCTCCTAGATATAAAAGCAACTGCTAAAACCATCCTAGATTCAATTTTATCTGGACCAAGAATCAACCATCATGCTCCATTTACAGAATATTTTCTTCAGGTAAGGCGATATCGTATTCTTGAATTTCACACGAAAATTCAAAAATAGCTCCGCAGTTTGAATACACCGAGAGCGTCGCAAGGAGGGCCTCCCTACCATCCAGATTTGGTACCGTGTGCAAACAAGCCTATAGACTAGGCCAGATCGGCCTGTGCACGTTGCATTCGAATAACGGTGGTTGTTTCTGAGAGACAATCTAATTTTTTTTAGTTTTCATTTTTAACGATCCGACCAGGTAATAATTAAGTGTTTTAAGTGTTAAACTTAGTGAGAAAAGGACTAAAAGATTTTGTGCTATAATAGAATAAAGTGGTGTTTAGTAACGAATCCATATTTGGTCACCTGCTACGCATCCAGTTGGCTTTTGTCCAGAAACTATTTTTGGATATACCGCGTGTAATATTTACTTTTCCAGAGGCTTGTTGGCTGCAGGCCAGGTGGCCTACTAAGGGAATTGTCGCATTCTTTCACAAAAATAGTTTGTGTTTCTTTTAAGTTAGTCTTTCCAGAAGTGCATTTACTGTGGGATAATTATTAAATAATAATTGGATTGAATCTGGCAAGTCTTTATTCAGAGTCTGGATTCAAAACTGATGATTTTCTCTTCAGTAATATTTTTACATATCAACCTGAATCAAATAGGAGTTCTGATATCTTTGCCAGGTTTTTCTCATTAAGATGATGATGATTTTTTTTGGGATAAGCTGAAGATTTACCACTAATTTATATCAACTTGATAGTGATTTCTGATTTTCTGATAAATTTCTGTGTCCAAGTTTTGAATTTTCCTTTAATTTCTGGCTCATTTTCCAGGTTTTTCTAAAGTAATCATAATTTCTTTGTGGATCAGTTTTTTCTCTTTTCTTCGTCTGTTTTTCAATCTTTTTATATTGGGACATCAATGTATTTTGTCTGTTTTTCCAGAATCATGCTTCCAGGTACCAATAATTCATATCAGATTAATGGAATTCGATTTTCCCTTTATTGACTTGGAACACTTTTGCTCTACAATCAAACTTCAACTCTACTTTATATGCTTCTACTTCACTTCTCCTTTTATTGAAATAAACCTTGACATCTGTCAAAAACTCCCTGTTAACTAATAAGCAATTTTGTAGCTCCATAAGTCAACAATCGTAGAATAAGCCATTGATATCAAATTTAGCTCAATTTATAGAGAATTTTTGAAATTTTAACTCAAAATCTTCAAACTTCCATATCTCGGTACCTATCCATATGAGATACCGAGATGAAATTTTTAGGAATCATATTTCTCAATATACCTTTCAACATCTATTCTTTTCCAGGTCGACTAAACAACAATCAAAATGCCTTTCAAGCCAGTCGAAAACCCAAAATGCCCCAAATGCCAAAAATCAGTCTACGCCGCCGAAGAACGTGTAGCTGGTGGATACAAGTTCCACAAAACCTGCTTCAAATGCGGTAAGATTCATTATAGTATAACTTAAGTCGAGCGGTGTAAAATCTGGCAATCAGGTGGGAACTTGAGACGTACAGAAATAGACTTTCGAAAATAACTAGAATTTTTAAGCACCTACGTTTAATGGCCATGGTGCATGTGCCAGGAGAGTTTATGTTTCAAGATTGAATAATTTTGGGATTTAGATTGCAAAATATATGATTTTCGAGTTTAATCGATGTTTCTTTTTGATGGAATGTTGCCTCATGCACATGAATTACAATAATTGATGTCCGAGGCATTGAATCTCTGGATAATTTTTCAATTTTTCCAGTAAAAATCAAATAAATTGCAATAAAAGGTTATATACTAAAGTCTCAATTTTCTAGATTTAAGTACTTACAACTTTTCCTTATTTTCACTAATTTATCCTGCAATACAGAGAGTTACAAATTCATGAAAAAGTATGGGGATTTCGGTAAACAAATTGGGTTGTAGTTCAAGTGCTACATTTATAAAGAAATTTGATTGGGTGAAATATTTGGTGTTTCAGACTTTTGACTTGATACCTTCCGTTGCTCATTGATAATTTTCTACATACACTTTGTGGGATTTGTGGCACTTTTAATTAGATTATTATTAGTTTCTATTATCACAGCCTGTCTGGAACAGGGGGTGTAGGGTGGATAGATGGAGAGAAACTGGCTAAGTTTTATATAAAAAGGTGTATATTTGCTATAAAGTCAGTACGTCATGAATCCTCCAGGATGCATGCTCTTTATTTGTTTGTCGTCCGCGTATGACAAGGCTACCATATTTTTCAGTTCAATACAGATATGATGTTTATGTGAAGGGAAAGTATTCATTCACCGATGAATTAGCGTGCCTGCTGCGTAAACCGCTGTCTTGTAGTCTTCAAGATCAAGTTCTTTCTTGGTGACGTTTTCATTGGCCCCAGCTGTTTTTTTGACGCCTCATGAACAAACAAGGTATCCAGATTTTAATTTAATTTAATTTAATTCCCTGCAGCATCCCACTTATTATCGTTTCTAAATGAGCAATATCTTGCGATTCCGGTTTGAAGGTTACCTGGTGGACGATTTCCTCAAAGTGGACACAAATCGCATTTCTCTGCGCTCCAGCCTGTCTCAAACATGCTGGATGGAAAAATACATCGCACTTTGTACACTGAACTTTAGAAACAACTTCTTTTTCACAATGAGCACACGTTTTTCGTACTTTTTTCGGAACCGAACTAACACTTGACCTATCAGCTCCCGCCATCTTGGATATATAACATCCTTGTTAAGTTGGAATAAAAACCTCCTAATTTTATTTTTAAGCTTCAAATTTGCCTTGTTTGATGGAAACATTCTCGTTAATAAATCCTGGAAGTTTGAAATCCTGATACTCCGAAGTATTTTTCAGGATTTTTCAATGGTGATTTAACGTGAATTTTCCAATTTTTTCTGGTATTAAGTTGGAAAAAATCTCAGAATTTTATTTCAGAGTCATAAATTGACTTCAAATGTACCTTGTTTGATAAAAAGATCCTGGTTAATGAATCCTGAAAGTTTCAAATCGATATGATACTTCGAAGTATTTTTCAGGATATTTCAAAGGGGATTTAACGTGAATTTTCCAACTTTCTTGGAAAAAAACATCATAGTTTTATTTGTAAGCTTCAGATTGACTTCAAATTTGCTTTGTTTGATGAAAACATCCCTGGGAATAAATCCTAGAAGTTTGAAATCGATCTGATACTCCAGAGCATTTTTTAGAATTTTTCAAATGTGATTTAACGTGAATTTTCCAACTTTTTTTGGTATTAAGTTGGAAAAAACCTCATAATTTTATTTCTGATCTTCAGATTGACTTCAAATTTGCTTGGCTTGATGATAACATTCTGGTTAATAAATCCTGAAAGTTTAAATTTGATCTGATACTCCGAAGTATTTTTCAGGATTTTTCAAAGGTAATTTAACGTGAATTTTCTAACTTTTTCTGGTATTAGGTTGGAAAAAATCTCATAGTATTATTTCTAAGCCTTAAATTGCCTTCAAATTTGCCCTGTTTGAGAAAAAGATCCTGGTTAATATTTCTTGGAAGTTTCAAGTCGATCTGAGACTCCAGAGTATTTTTCAGTATTTTTCAAAAGTGATTTAACATAAATTTTGCAACTTTTCCTAGTATTAAAACGGAAAAAATCTCATAATTTTATTTCTGAGTTTCATATTGACTTCAAATTTGCCTTGTTTGATGAAAACATCCTTGCCAATAATTCCTGAAAGTTTGAAATCGATCTAATACTCTAGAGTATTTTACAGGATTTTTTGAAGGTGATTTAATGTGAATTTTCCAACTTTTTCTGGTATTAAGTTAAGTAGAATACCATGGGATTCCAGTAGAATTGCGTGGGATTTCTGTAGGACTCCGTAAAATTGCAGTAAGATATAGTAGGATTCTAGAAGGATTCTGATGTACACATTTTTCAAGGTGGTTCGCCCCTCACATCTAATGGATTTTGGTTTCCAGAAAGATTATCCAGCGCATCAGTGATAATTGAAATTGCTAATTCTTGCGGTCATCCAGGAATAAAGTCAACTTATGACTGCCTCTAAAATAGTTGAGAATCAAAATCGAAATATCTTAGAGCCAGTTTCACAAACAGTGATAACCCCAACGGTAACCACAAGACACTGGTAACCTACAATATATCTGTTTCATAATGTGTGGTTTAGCCAAAACCATTGGTGAAGCGTCGGAGTATTCAATGTAGTCAACTTGCAACTATGAGTTTCATAACCAGTCCAGGTTACCACCAATTGTGAAACTGGGCCTTAGTAAGGTAAAATTTTCCAGAGATGATTACTCTTAAGCCCAGTTTCACAACTAGTGGTAACCTGCACTGGTTATCAAACTCATAGTTGCAGGTTGACTACAGGGAATATTTTGAAGCTTGACCAATGGTTTTGGCTGAACTACACATTATGGAACAGATACGGTATCCGCCAAAATAAGCGGTACCGAAATCTAGAGCTCTGAGTAATTGCGCACGCAAGTTGCATTTATCATATTTCGCTTACTTGGCATTAGTTATGAGGTTGACATTAAGTTAAGGTTAAAATCTTCATCAAATTATGTATCTTTCAACTTAAGAAACAGTTTTCTCAGTAGAGCACTATTTCCGGTCATACGGATTTAGAAGGAGTAAAGGCTCAAGTTTGAAACAAGTCTCAGAAAAATTTCAGTAACCAGTGTTAATAAATATTTTCAATGATTTGTGGAATCGTTATGAAGCTTTTTTGCGTCGCTATGATGCGTTTTTTGAACATATACGCATAATACAAATTAATAAATGACATAATTTATTATGTTCAGTACTGTTTATTTTGGCGGATACTGTATATTGTAAGTTATCAGTATCTTGTGGTTACCGTTGATGGGTTACCATTGTTTGTGAAACTGGCAATTAATTAAAAAGTCCATTTTTGGATTTTTCTAGTCTAAATTATTCATCGTTTATATTCCAAAAGAACGAGTGATGTTTTATTGAAACTCTCAGAATAAGGTCTTCATGAGATTCTACAAAAATGCTTTACTGAGATATTTTGATATTGAAATTTTTCTATAAACAGAAGTTTAGAAGGTTCCAGAATGTTTCACCAAGTATTTTTTTTAAATCTTTCAAAAGACTCTACAGCCAATTTAGAAACATTTTAGAACGTTTGCGAAAGAAGTATAATTTGGAATTTTCATATAAGTCCAGAAAGTATGACTTTCAGAAGCATTTTAGAATAGTCTAGAACCAATATGAAATGATATTACGATTTGGATTTGAACTGTAGAGTATTTCAAGCTCTTAAGAATACATATTTGTATTTGAACTTCAAAGCAAATCTTAAGAACCGCCGGGAATTTCCAAAAATTGATTTTTACGACCAATCAAAAGCCGGAAACGAGGTCGGTAAAATTTAACAAAATTAAATTTTAAATCCAATCAAGAACCGGAAATATTCAAACATTGAATTTTAAAACGTCAAATTGAGCCAATCAAGAGCCGAGAATATTTAATAATCGAATTTTAAAGCAAATCGAGAGCCCGGAATTTCCAAAAATTGAATTTTATAACCAACCAATAGCCGGGAAAATTTACTGGAAGTATTTTTCAAGAACCTTCAAATCAAATACTTATCAAAATCGTAACTTTAGTTGTCAGTTTCATATTCAGCTGTTTTGCATGATACAAAACAAGTTGGAAGTTAATATGAAACTGACAACTTAAGTTGGGAATTTTTTTACTCTATAATGCCTGAGAAAATTATAAAATCACCTTTGAGGGTTCCTGAAAAATACTTCAAGTCATCCCAGCAACTTGAAACTTTCAGGATTTGTTAAATGAAGTTTTTTCTTGATATAAAACAAACTGGAAGTTGATATGAAACTCATCACTAGAGTTACGATTTTTTTACTCATTAATATCTGACAAAATCTTAAATTTCCTGTAAAATCACCTTTGAAGGTTCCTGAAAAACACTTTCAGTCATCCCAGCAACTTGAAACTTCCAGGATTTGTAAGATGAAGTTTTTTCATGATACAAAACAAACTGGAAGTTGATATGATACCTGGGAAAATCATAAAATTTTCTGTAAAATAATCTTTGTAAGTTCCTGGAAAATACTTTCAGCCATCTCAGTAACTTGAAACTTTCAGGATTTGTCGAATAAAGATTTTTCATGATACAAAACAAATAGGAAGACGATATGAAACTCACAACTAAAGTTACGAATTGTTTTACTCATTGATACCTGAGAAAATCATAAAATTTCCTGAAAAATCGCATTTGAAGGTTCCTGAAAAATACTTCCAGGTATCCCAGCAACTTGAAACTTTCAGGATTAGCCGAATGAAGTTTTTTCATGATACAAAACAAACTGGAAGTTGATATGAAACTCATCACTAGAGTTACGATTTTTTTACTCATTAATATCTGACAAAATCTTAAATTTCCTGTAAAATCAC